GTTAAAAACTCTCAGTAAACTAGTAAATATTGAATGAATTTCCCGAAATCAGGAACAAAGAAAAGATGTCTGATCTCACCAGCTCTAAGCAACTTTTGATTAGAAGACATAAATAATGCCAACAGTGAAAAAAAATAATTAAAAGAAATAAAGATTGGAAAAGAAGTATAAAACAGATCAACTTAATAACAAACTTTGTATCAACTAAAAGGGCTTGAAGACAATACCAGTGTTGGGAAGGGCAGGAGGCAACAGAACCCTCATACAGTGCTTGTGGAAGTGTAAAACTGCACAAGTTTTGGAAACTGTATGGCTGTTTCCTGTAATGAAAAACATATACCTATGATCCAGCCATTCCCAAAGTACCTGGGATTGATGAGAGAGTCAGAAGAAGTTATTGCCAGCAGTCCTCGCTATGAGAAGTGGTTTACTTCTTCAGGCTCATGGGAAATGATGCCAACTGCAGACCTGGATCTTCTGTGATGGTTGAAGATCACCGGAACTGGTAAGTGTGTTCATACAAAGAAAAGTCTACCTCTTTCCTCCCTCCTGATTTCTTAAAGATACATATGGCTGTTTATAGCAAAAACGTTGAAATCACATTGTGATTGATGGCATATGTAGATGCAATACCCACGACAACTAAAGCATAAAGAATGGGGGAGTGAAGGACTGCAAGCTCCCTCATTTTACATGAACTGGTACAATATTAACTCTAAGTAGACTGAAAAGTTATGGATGTAATGTGGTCCTATCTAGGGCAACCACTACAAAAAGTGAAAATGCAAAGCAGTAATTGCTAAATGGCAATTAAAACAAGTGGAATTCCAAAAAAAGTAAATTGACCCAAAGAAGGCAGGAGTAATAACAGAGGAACAAAAAACAGAGGGGCAAATAGAAAACAGAGACCTAAATCTAACCATACTGATAATTACATGAAATAAACCCACCAATTAATTAAAAGGAATAGACTGTGAGACTGCATAAAAAAGCAAGGCTCTGCCCTGTCCGGTGTGGCTCAGTTGACTGGAACATTCTCCCACATACCTAAATTGCGGGTTCAATCCCCGGTCGAGGCACCATCAGGGCATGTCCAGAGCACAATTGATGTTCTCTCACATTGAGGTGTCTCTCTCTCTCTCTGTTTCTTTCTTTCTCTCTCTCCCTCCCTCCGTCCCTCCCT